TTGGGCCGGTCTGCCAGTCGGCCGTGTGCTCGCGGGCGCTGTACCCGAGACCTTTCTCAGCCCATTAGCCCTCTCTGGTTCAGCGCAGAGCGTGCAAAGCTGCCCGCCTTTGGGGTGCAGGGGGGGCTAAGGTTCAGGATTTAGTATCTCCCCTTAAGGTTCAATGCTTCCCCTTGTGTCTTCGGCTTTACCACCCTGCGTCTCCTTTAAGTGTTCAAGGGCTGCCCACCCAAGATCTGCCTCCATCAACGGTGTTGGTTAGGGCTTGGCTTGGAGCTTCCCAGCCAACATCTTGCAGGATTCACGGTTTCCCCGCTAATATTTGAATGCGTTTAGTTTTTCCGACCCATATTTTTTAAGCTAACCAGGCAAGATCTCTCCGAGTTTAGGGCTAACGGTTTATCAGTTTCGGGCTTAGGGTTGAGGGATACTGCTCGAGGGTTTAGGATTTGAGGATATGGTGCAGGCTTTGAGGTGGAAGGTCCAGGTCAGGTGTTTAGGGTCTGGGGCTCAGTCGGGTTTAAGCACTGGCCATCCAAACAAGCACGCAGTATCTAAGCTGTTTGCTCAACCATTGCATCAGGAGCAGGATGGCCCGGATTTGCTGACGCAGTGGCTCGGAACGAAGCTATGGGCAACTGCGTCATGTTTTTGACTGAACCGTCGAACAAGATTATTGAATTACCTTAATTCCTTCGAACGTTTGAGGTTTTTCAATGTTCTCTTCGATCAGCATGATTGGTGCCATCATGAATGGGCGCTTGACGAAGAGATGTGTGTTGTGATTCAGCAGGCCCACAAAGCAGGTTGCCTTACATCCTCAGCTGCTGGCATGGTTGTCAGACACGGGCATTCAATATCATTCGCGCACGCCTGCAGATTATGGACTTGGGTCTTTGCGATGCAGATCAGCGCGCTCAAGCCAAAGAGTTGATACAGAGAATTGGGCAGGGAGCCTGGCGCGCATTAGAGAAGAGCTTGTGTGCTTTGCAGCAGCTCTCTGAGGCCTGATGAGGCACCTGCTTTGCTTGCAGACTCCAACTTGCCTCGCCCGTGGTGGCCAGCCGATCAAGGTTCAAAGCGGCTGTCTCAGTTGTCTTCAGGCAGCGGTCCAGAAGCCTTCTTTGTGCAAAATAATGAGACCCCAGGCCAGAGAAGGCAGATGCTTTCGAGGAGGAAATTCCAGCAGCGGAGGAGGAAGCAGAGAAGGGCGAGGACGAGGCGCCTTCGCCACATCGAGACCAGTCTGCTCGTACGGTTGCCTGACGCAGGTGACTGGAACCGACAAGTCTTTCCTGCAGGGCTCGGGGCAAGCTGGCTCTGGCCAAGCTGGTGCCATGGCGTGACCTGCGATCGATAGTTGCTAAATTTGGAGTACATTCATCTCGATACGCGTCTCAAGTACCGTTCAGATTTCAAGTTGCCAAGATTTCATTTCCAGAGCTTTGAGAAAAAGATAGAAAAGCATCACGGAGTAATTCCATGTTCTTATGCTAGAGTTCGTTCCTCCTTTCTGAAGAGCCTGCTGAGGGTTTGACCTTTGCCACAACCTTGCATTTTTTGGGCGAATCCATCATTTTAAAGACGCATGGCTTGGCGTGCGGAGAAGTGGCTGAATTCGATCCTTGCGCTGCTCAGAAGGGGCAACCCTACAACCGTTTCCACTCCTCCAAAGCTCAGCCGCTGGTTTTTCCGAAGTCTTGACGTGATCCTGGCACTCTCTCATCTTGGGACTCCTACCTGTGTCATGTCAAGCTCTGGTAGTCATGACCATTCTGGTGCACCGTGATACGTAATCAGTTTCATTGCCTTGTGTCGATTTGGCATTGATTTGGCAAAGCAAGCTCAGGAATGACAAGCGACAAACAGGATGAAACTTGGCCTTGATAGATGATCCCGCTGTAGAAGACCATCCAACTTTTCTTCTCAAGAGATGGCTTCTGCGTGGAGCTCAGGAGTTCGGCGAGCTTTGGCAGGTCACCGCAACCCGAGTCGGCCGTCACTTGAAGATATCTGATCAGGACTGTCTGCGTTAGGGCTTATAGTGTTATGGGCCTGAAGCTAAGACCAGCCCGCCTACTTTCGAAGGCCTCGCGAGAGTCAGCAGCCACAACAAATGCTTGAGGACCGAGAGCTCCATGCACGCCATGCTCAACCCTTCCGAGCTCTGGTGACCTGACCAAGCTATGCCCACCACATCCCGACATTGAAGCTTTGAAACTGAAACACAAGAACCTTGTTCGAGCCTATGGACAGGGCTGTGCACGTCTTCAAGAACATGTTTTTCAACCCTCCATAGTTGCAAGCCACACTGTTTTGTGATCCTAGGGCGCGCATTGCTTCAAAGCGGTGTCAGCAAAGCATGCTTTCCAGTTCATGGCGTCTACGCTGAGGTGGGGAGCGACCAAGCAAAGTCCAGCTCTGAAATGGATCCAGTTCTACCAAGAGGCGGAAAATGCGGAAATGCTGGCAAATTTCAAAGCTCTGCTTTGCTGACAGACTGCCAGGCCTTCGAATGCCCGCAAACACGAAGCACCTTCGAGAAGAGGAAGATTTGAAGGCGCCAGCGGCTCTTCCCACATCTGCAGCAACGCCTTCGCCCAAGCAAGGACTTCATGTACGAGCTGGTGGAGCTGGATGATAGCAAGCTTGCTGCCAACTTGCGTGTGGATGTGAATCTCTGGCGGCGCCAGCAGCTGGCGTGGCTTGGCCTCTGCTCGTATGGAATTCTTGCAAAGCTTTAAAAAAAAACAGCACCGACAAAATCGTTACGCACGCATCCCACTGTCAATAGACCCAAGCCTGAAGCCCGGAGGTTCCGGTGATCGAAGCGTTGCTTCGAAAATTGCAGGATACTAGGAAGCCCAGCTTCAAGACATTCAATTGAGGCAGTCTTTGCCACTTCCTTCCGATTTGGTCCCATGGTATCCATGTACGTAGACACACGACAGCAATGGGCTGGCTACGCACATCCAGTCCAACCTAGCTCGAGGATAAACCAGCTGAAACGCCAGACGTCAAGGTGTGCGTCAAACGAGTACTATCTTAAGTTTGTGGATCCTCTAGGACTCTAGGGGTGCATCCGAGTATGGCACAAAAGCACGCACCAAGACAGAGCATGCAAAGTTCCTGCCAGCTCGAGCGGGCCAATCCCTGTTCGGGTCCTCGGCATCAAAACAATCGCCGTGGCCTTTCTTTATCCGAGTTCCTGACAAGCACTCGCCTTCGGTTTACACTGCTGTGGTCCTGCAGAGCTATAAAGCATTGCTATTGATGGCTGCTGGATGGTCTTCGAGCTTGTACGAAACAATCAGTTTACAGCGATAAAAGCTTCGAAAGCTGAAAAGCATTTTTCCCATCGAGCAACATGTCTCCGCAGAATAAGCTCACAGCGCCATTGCTCCATGTTTCTCCGGTCTTACTCCGCGCAGATGACGCCAAAGCTTGCCTGGCCGAAGCGGTGCTTCGGAATTCTCCAATTGCTTGAAGCACGTTTACCAGTAGTAGGTGGTGGCGGTAGTGCGAGGAGGAGGAGGCAGGCCCCCTCCCACATGTTCTGGAACACGGTAATTCCCGACCACCAGTGTTGAATATTGCTATGCAGGAAAGGGGGGAAGCGCAGGAAAGGGCGGAGGGGGGAAGGGATGGATGGCAGCGGACTGTTGCTTTGGAAAATTGACGCCCCTTCACGGTTTAGGTTTCATTTTCATGGACGTGTAAAACTTTCAAGGTTTGGTGTTGTTTAGGGCTTTGGCTAAACTAGGACTCAGAGTTTGGGGTCGTTTTGCGATTTTAGGGTTTGGGTTCAGGCTTGCTTAGGGACTTGCTTAGGGTTGGTGGTTTGCTCACCGGTTTAAGGCTGTTTAGGGTCTAGGGCTTAGGGTTTGGGCTTAGCTCTGGGGTTTCGGCTTTAGGGTTTTTGCATGGGTTTCTTAGGTGCTTTTGGATCTTATGGGTTTTTTAGGGTTTGGGGTTGTTTAGGGCTTTGAGGGTTTGGGGCTGAGGGACTTTTGAGGTTTGGGGTTTAGCAGTTAGGGTCCTTGAGGTTTTAGGGTTGTTTTGGGTTCAGGTCCAGGGTTTGGGGCTGTTCAGGGTCTAAGGTTTAGGCTTCTTTGTGGGTCAGGGCCTGGGGTTATTTAGGGCTTTCTGGTGAGAAATGTTGTGGCACTGGCAGCCTCAAGTACTGCCCCTGGCTGTGAGTTTAGCACACGGACGTTTCTTACCCCTGCAACACAGCGACTCTTGACCAAGCGGAAAAAAAACGCATAAAGTATTGATATTACCACAACATATTGCTGGGTTACAGCGGCAGGTTATGGCTTCTTGTAAAAAGCGCTCAGGTGATACAGTGACAAGGACAAGGGTTGAAGAGAGAAGGGCGAAGGAGGAGTCTTTCTACCTTCCACAGTGCAGGATCCTTGTTGGGGTGTGGCAAGCTTCCCTGTCGTGGTTGCTGCGCCCCTCGTCTTCCGCCTGCTAGTGAAGTCCTTCTCCCTTGTATCTAGGCACGGGCAAACCATCACCCGGGTCGTAGTACTATAGCAGCAGCAGCGCCCTTGTCACTATTGTTGCGTTGGCTATTGCCGTTGCCGTTGCCATTGTGCTCATGTTTGTTCTCCCTTACATTGTCATTGCCACTGGGTTCATCATCATTATCATCAGCAGCAGCATCATCATCCCAAACGGGATATAAAGACGCAACGCAGAGTGGATGGTGGTGGTGTTGTGGCTTTCGTTGCTGGTGTTGTTGTTGCTGGTGGCGCTCCTGCTCCCGCTACAGCGCAGCTGCTCTGTGTTTTTGCTGCCTTCAGTTCTGCTTAAAATCATGCACCAGACCGGCCGAGACATTTTGGAATTCATTAGAGTCCGACCCGCTAAAGCCACTGCTAAATGATGTTCAATCTCAATGCTGAAGGCATCCCAGTTTTGAGCTCGTCGGCACTGACGAACGAACCTGGAACGTGCAGCAAGCTCTGCGAGACAAGATGAACTCTCTTGGCATGAAACTCTTCTTCGAAGAGAATGTGCCCCGGCAGATGGTAGTCTAGACAGGGTGTGTTTGGTTGCACAGGCAGCAAATCAGGGCGGTGCGACTGGGGTTTCCCTTGCAGGTGTTGATGGAGTTGATGATGGAGGTTCACGTGAGGATCGAAGCTCGAGACGTCAGGGCAGCGCTTCTACGCACATCTGGTGACATTTCGAAGCCGCATGGGGTCGAAAAGGACACGGTGGACCGTGACATCACCATGAATCAGGTGTACTTTGAGATCGAGGTCAACCATTCTGACGTTGTCTTCCTTGAGAATTTCTCGCAGCCCATCTTGCAAGCCCCACTCTTCAAAACCCAGCCTGAAGCGTGTGACCTGCAGAGTTTGTGTGATGTCTAAGGTACACACTTGGGCGAAAAAAGCTTGTCCTTCAACTTCTGGGAGCTCATACTGTTCCTGGACGCAATTTGCAGCAACACATTCGACTCGGCTTGAAATCAGCTGCAATGCTTGGCGTTGCTCTTCCAAACCGCTTCAGGTGACCATGAGGTCCCGTTGCCTCTTGAACACACCGGGAGTCACCATCACTGTGGCCAACCCTCGACTGATTGCACTGACGAGCCCTACCAGCTTTGATGCTGACGTGATACAGAAGGTTGGTGTCACAATGATTAGCTGATCTGTCATGATCTGCTACAGCTGCCTTTCATCACAGGTTGTGAAGGTCGGAAAGCAGCAACACGCTCTCTCTAACGAGCCTGGCATCGAGCTGCAGGAAGTCGGCCTGTCTGGCAGCACATGCATCCATCCTTCTGCAAGGGGTTGCTCATGTTGTCCTTGACACTTTCTTCGGCTTTCCGGCTGTATGTCACTCTATGCCAGGACGGACAGACGTTGGAGTCGCTTACAGATAAGAAGGGCCTGGCACGGAAAGTCATCCATCATTTGATGCCGCGCTACAGGCCCAAACTTGCACCTGACTTTTCCAGGGCTTTGAATTGTGCCTCGTCAGCTTGTTCACCTGAATGAGGAACATTTTGGTCGATATAATCGAGGAGCAGTGCTTTGGACTAAGTGGCGGCACGGCTGGGCTTGACCGCGTGAGGCGCAGGGGACCTGCACCATGGGAATGCTTCATCTTGACATTCTTGCAAGGCTCTCGCGGATCTTGGAGGCTGAGCTTCTTGGCGGAGAGTCCAACACATTTGCAGATCGGTTTTGCTTATTTGCCGGGCTTTTGCGCCAGAGACACACGCGGCATTTCAGGCATCAAGACGTTGTCGCAATGATCAACAGGGCATGCAGTCTCCTGGCTACGGGTAGTTGAAGGCACTGAACCTTGGATGCCGTAGTCTCTGGCTGCAGGCTACGTGATGCTTGAGCAGCTCTTGACCAAGCTGGACATTGAGCGCGGAGACTGGGAGCTGCAGGATCCGAAGCCCGAACACAGTCTGCCCTGCTTACCTTTCCTTTGATGTCCAGGTACAGACCACCTTCCCGAATCTGATGCCTGCATCCTGCTGGCAGAATACTCGTTGGCTTTGCTTGAAGTCACTTTGGGCACAGATGTTTGCCATAAGTTGTTCTCTCAGGTATTTGAAACCCTTAGCGAGTATGCCTTCGATGAGATTAATGACTCAGAGGCAGAGATCACTGGAGGCCAAGTCTTGCATCATCACAATGCATACTCCTTGCAAAGGTTCCACTCATTCTGTGCCGAGAGCCCGAGGAGGACTTACAAAATGCCGTAGCGCTCTCCTGTCTGCCAGCTGGTTGTCAGCAGGAGCGCATGGAGACTTTGCGCTCATGGATTTTGCGAATATGCCATGTCATCCGCACGGTGGCGTTCACAAATCAATCTCGCCTCAGCTTTGCGCAACTGGGTATCAATTCAAGGGCAGTAATTAGAGCTGGATGGAAATCTCATATCTTGCAGTTACTTGCATCATTTGAAGGTTGCATCAGAAATAAGGAGTGATGGCGGACAGACAACTTTCGGCGAAGTGGAGGAGGACATGTAGAATGTTGCTGAACATGAATTTCTCTACAGCTCAACAGTAGACTGCTGAGGAGAACATCTTTGAGAAACTCTTCGATGACACCGGAGAAATGCTTCTGGCACGCGCATGTCTCCTGGCACGCACCAGGTGAGACCTCCAATCTGGGCTCAGAGATGCTGAGAAATGTTAGAAGAAAAAAATTACTAGTAATAATATAATATTAGTAATATGAATAACAATATTAATAATAGTAATAATAAGAATAATAATAATATTAAGAAGAATATTAATAAGAATATTAAAGTAATATGGTTCAGAGAGGTTCAGAGGCTGAGGGGTGAGACTTCGTTCCTGTAAAGAGGATGCATTCCAGGCAGAGGGGTCTTTCCGTGCAGCGTGCAAGTAGCTTTGTTCAGGCTGCCACCTTTAAGGAAGTGTCGAGGGCTTGAGCGGGGCTTAAAAGTCAAACGCCCCCCCGTGTTGAATGATTTTTCCAGAGGCCTAAAGCTCATGAAGAGCACTTTTACAACTTTAAGGGGCCAAGGCTACTTTTCAAAGGGACCAATGAGGATCTTCATAAGGATGAACTGGGGCAGTGAGGTCATTAGGGGGTCATAGTTGGAAATCCAAGGAGGGATCCCCTTCATTTCCTAGGTTTGCTATTGCTTTTCCCAGGTTCCCAGGTCTCGATAAACGTTTGCAACACAAATCTAAACCAAAATCTAATGACAAATCGGTATCTACTTGATGTCGTGGAACTTGATTATTGTTAGAAGGATTTGGTATAGAAGAACAAATTTAAGTAGAATTAGGGATCGCCTTGATGTCTTTAAGTGTTGATTGTTCTCCACCCTCACAGTGGGGTTGTTAGATTTTAAAATTCTATGTTGACCTCACCCTGCAGTGCCCAACCGCAGAGTATGCCTGCAGTGCCTAGCCACCAAGTATCTCTGCAGTGCCCTACCACCAAGAATCCTTGCAGTGACGAACCACCAAGTATCTTGCAGTGCCCAACCGCATAGTATCCCTGCAGTGCGCGACCGCAGAGTATCACTGCAGTGCCCAACCACCAAGAATCCCTGCAGTGCCCAACCGCAGAGTATCCCTGCAGCGCCCAACCGCAGAGTATCACTGCAGTGCTCAATGGCAACGTATCCTTGCAGTGCCCAACCGCAGAGTATCCCTGCCATGCCCAACAACCAAGTATCCCTGCAGTGCCCAACCCCACAGTATCCTTGCAGTGCCCATGGCAGCGTATCCCTGTGGTCCCCAAGCCCACAATATCGGTCAGTATCGCTGCAGCGCTCAATGGCACAGTGTCCTTGTCTTGCCCAGCTCTTGCAACGCCGAACTCCACAACATTCGCCTCTGCAGTGCCAAACTGCAATATTCTTGGAGTGCATTTGCAGTGCTGGAAGGAAGAAAATTTTGGGGGCAGGCAAAGATTACATTTCTGGTGCAATAACGGCTTTAGGGCGGGGATGCTCGAAGTAAATAAGTTTCTCTTAGGATGTTACAGAGGAGTGCATATAAAGGAACATGCGGAAATTCAGGTAGAATGAGGAATCTCCTTGATCCTAGGGTCCGATAATTGAACATTTAGGGGGGAAGGCATTGTAAACTGGGGGGGCACGGAAGGCGGATAGATAGAAGGTCACTAGCAAAGTGCTGGGAAAAGGTTTTCGTCGCCTGTTCGATGAATGTATGCATGCTCCTCTAAGAACAGGTTTGAACCAAACCCTGTAGCTGCCAGCACGCACCCGGAATTCAAAGTTTTTTTTTCCATAAAACTATTTTTCCTGAAGAGAAATCGAACTAATTAACAAAACTCTTGATGTGTATTATTCTAAAAAACAATCAATGGGAGCTTCTTCTATTCAACAAAATTGTGTTGTAAATAATCTAGTAATCAACCTGGTGATAGAATAGCATTGGGTGGTGATAGAATAGCATTGGGTGGTGATAGAAACGGGCTTAATGCGCGCCCGCATTTTTCTTGCCTTCTGTAACCATGTCCTTGCTTCCTCCTCTGTCTCAGTGACCTGTAGTGACTTGTTTGTACTCAGTACTCAATCAACCTGTGGGCTGCCACGTTATCCAGAACAGTAGCGGTCCTGATGCTTTTGGAGCCTCTTAGTCTCAGCAGCACATTCAAGCCCGTGCCTTTGTCAGTTGCCGCAACAAGTTAGCAAGCTCCATGATTTTTCGAAGCATGTACAGCACTGAAGCGCTAGCTGCATTGCCAATGTTTGCACAGGCAAGGAAGGTCATCAGCACTGGTTGCACTGCTTAACGGAAAACTTTTCAGCTTGCTGCAATTCCCCGATGAGGTTGCCTTTTGCGAGGACCATTTGCTAGTTTCTCCCAGCCTTGGCAAGCATGTCCGTTTGCTTGTCAAAGCGGATAGCAACGGCACTCACGAAGATGGCTTGTTTGTGGTCACAGGCTCAATCACGCATGTGCTTCTGTTAGAGAGCTTGGCACACCGAAGCCCGTGCTTGCAAGGTCCGGGGGAGACCTCTAGCCAGGGAGGGCGAAAGGGTTAGTTTTCTAGGTCCGGCGGTATTGCCTGGTCTAGAGGTCCGGCTGAGAGGCCATATACCAGGCGCTACCCGAACAAGACAGCCAGACTTAGAAAATCAACACAGCCCACCGTCTGCAGGCGTTCTTTTTTTTTCCCAAGTCCGGCTGTAAGGGCTTGCCCAGCAAGAGCTCAGTTTGAGAGATGTGAGGACGCTCCACGCGAGAGCTTGATTTCGAACCAAAATGTGAGAGCGATCCCAGTCCAACCCTCTTTAAAACAACATTATTTACTTCGAGCATTCCCGCCCTAAAGAAAAAAAGTGTTTCCCTCCCCCCAAACTGTCTTCCTTGCAGCACTGCAAATACACTGCAAGAGACTTGCAGTTTGGCACTGCACAGGGATACCCTGCGGTTGGGCACTGCAGGGACACATTGCCATTGACCATTGAGCAATGCAGTCAGGCTCTGCGTGGAGGGCGGGGGTTCTTAAAACTAACAACCCCACTGCAAGGGTGGGGAACTACAGCAAAAAGACGGGCGCACACAGGCGGAGAATCAATCAAACGCCAATGACACTCAAAGTCATTTTGCGCAATGCTACATCCTGGCTGTGCATCATCAGCTCATCTTGCGGTTCAGGCAATTGCAGACGGTAATCGTGCCCCACCATCCGGGTGCAACGTTTTCTTCACCTCTCCACAAATGCAGCTTCAAATGGTGCAAGCTTCTGCCGACGTCCAAACTCAAACTTACCCACGCGTGCACTAGTAAATCAACCTGACATGCACGACGCCTAACCATGGCACCATCCTTGAGTGTCAAAGCAAAGTGGGGCTCAGTTCTTCGAATGCGACGCAGGGCTTTTTGAAGATGCTCTTTGCTTCTGGTCCTGTTAGCCTCATACTGGGGGGGGGGGGGTGCTTTCAAAGCACCAGCCAATGTCAAAGTTTTGCGAACGCTTCAATATGCCATGGCATGCTGTGGTACTGTGAGCAAGTTTGGCGACCTTTACTCGGCGTAGCCTCAGGCTGTTACCGTGCTCCACCCACAGTGCTGCATCAAGCCATGGCAGATGCAAAACAAAGACAAGCGATCTTCGACTGCTACCGAATAAGGCCCTAGGTCTGGCATTGAATCTGAAATTCAACAATGACAGGAATCGAATTCATGCAGCATGATGCAGCATGGCCCCTCCCAGAGCAACACAGGCAAGGCATCTGACTCCGTGCGGGAAAGCTGTGGGAGACAAGCTCGAAGTGGAAACGATCAATGAGCAGGATGCTGACCAATGGCTGTGGCTTCAAATTCTGTCGCACAGTGTAATCGCTAATTACTCCCTTCAAAAAGGGAAGGACTGATGCGCTGCGGCGCCACTTGTTAGGAGAATCGTCGGATGTCCTGTGAGGAGCGGATTGCACCCTCAGTCGAAAGTTGCCTGATGGAACTGCAGTGGATTCTAAGCACAGCGCATGCTCCCAGACCGCCAGCCATCGCAAAAGAGCAGTGTAAAGCCGCCAACTGGCACACGTTGCTGCAGGCTTTGACACTCAGCGGACGCATGCGAACGCAAGCAATGTGGTATTACGTGGCGCACTTTTCCTTCCAGCTACACAGAACAACACACGGCAGCCGCAAGTGCCGCAAGTGCAAATTGACGCGGCGTGCCCTGTCTTCTGCGCATTTTTCACGGAAAGTCATCGAGCTCGAGTCAGCCTTGATGGGAAGCAGGGTGGTCGGACCGTCATGTACACTTGTGGCATGAGAGGATGGCCGGGAGAGATTTTCTGTCATGCCCGGCTGTTCGAGCTGTTATGGGATCTCATGGAATATTGTGCTCAATGCTGTCGCCCGTTCCAGGCCAATGCCTTGCCCCCGCTCAGGCATAATTACTGCTGCTGAGTCAATATGATTCAATGTCAATCTGACAATCACATAAAAGATCATAAAAGCAGAAGCCACCTTGCGCACCTGGATGCATGAAGGAATATCCTGCAGCTTCTTGCGAGGAAGGTGATTAGCAGCACTCTTGGCCACAGCTCAAGAACCATGTGTGTGAATTATCTCATGCACGGCATGATCAAGCATGATTGGCGGTCAGTAGGAGAAACAGCTGGTAACACTCTCTTCACTGGAATGGCCATTCCCAAGCTCTTCCCATGGTCTCATGGCTTTGCTGGTCAGTACAACAGCGAGGGTTACTTCTTCGTCACAACTGTGACACTTACTTACTTGCTTATTCACTCACTTGTGCATCCATCCACCTCCACAAACGAGTCTTAACAACATCAAGTTCCTGAGGAGCTCTGGAAGCTATCCTGATCTCAAAGCTTATCAGCTTGTTCGTTTCTTTGAATCTGTACATGAGAGCTGTGCCAAATGAAGATTTTTCGCTGAAATGAAAGGATCTTGAACTCTTGGTATGCCACGCCTGCTATTCCAGGACATGTCGTACATGACTGCATGTCACATGTAACTATGGTTTAAGTTTCATCACCAACTGTGAGGGCTGTGGAGAGAAAAGCCGGTGTTTCATTCAGCTGCAACAAATCCAGACCTGCAATGAAGCTTGGCATCTGCGACCTGTATGAAGCAGGCGACAGAAAGACATCAATTTTGAACGAAACCGGATGCACACGTCCTTCGGATTGGCGATTACATTCGGATCTGTCGATCTCGCGATGGAGATCTGATCGGCTGTATTCCTGTTGCAATCAAAACACACCTATCAGGAGCGTGCATGGGATAACCCGCCGCAAGAACAGCTACAAGAGTAAGTTCAGAAATCTCTTTGTCCAAGGCCACTAGCCATTGAGGTAGAGAAACTTGACATTTTGCGTGCCGCATGAAAAAGCTTGACAGACCAGGCGCGTGCAGTCCTAAGAAATATGTGTATATATATATATATGTATATGACATTTGTGCTGCATGAAAGCAGGTGCCAGAGCTTGTGCCCTGGCATGGCCAGCATGTGTGACATGGAACATGTAGCAGGGAATGGTGGCGAATGCTCGTTCAAGTGTCATGGATCGACTCCGCAATTTTTCCTAAGGTTGCGCTTCGCTGCTCAACATTTTGCAGGCCGAATTTGGCGTTGCCTTGCGCTTCCATGGGTTTCCCTGCCGCACGACGAGTGTTCGCACTTCCTAGGAGATCTTCACGCGCCAAGATGACATCGAGGCTCCCAGCAGCTCTCAGGGTGTAAACACTAATGATTTTCGTGCATCTGAATGCACAGGAAACCTGGCAACGGTGGACACCAGCACAACAAACTAGCCATCAATTCTTGAAGTCGTTGCTTGTCCGCATGTCACTCCGAGATGGGTTCCAAGCCTGACGTGTGGCCTTTGCTGCTTGTTTTCCCAAGCAGTTTACGCTTAGAAGTGCGGAGGTTCGTTGTGGAGAAGGCTATGTTCTTCTGCCCCTTCAGTGTGGACAGGGACATGAAGAAGAAGGCCCCGGCAGTCAACTTCCGCTTTGGTTTTCCAATGCATTCTTGATGTGTCAGTTTTGTTGGCGGATTCTTTTCCGAATCTTCCCCTCTGAATCAGCAAGCATATTGTAGTCGCTGCCTTCACCTCTTCCAGGTCAGGCTGCGACTCACCCGCTTCTTCGAGGACGCGCAAGTTGAGCCAACTGACCCACTGCGATTGGTACCAGCAGCTTTGCTGTGGTATGCTACGTTCTTACAAGATGCCTTTCCCCTGAAATCTAAGGAAATGCTGTACCATCCTGATGTGTGGTTGCGCCTAGAAGCGCTCAAGCTTGGCTGCAAGCTTCTGGAAGATGCGGATTTGAACCTGCAGGCGGCCTTCCGCAAGTGGCTTGGAAGCAAATGGGTTCGTATTAGATCTTTTCGTTAGCAAACTGGGCGTTGCGATTCTTAGGTTTGACTCGCCACAACTCAACCTCCAGAAGGTTCGGTTTCAGAGCGAAGCAAAGAATCAGGACGTGCAGTGGAAGAGCTGCTTTCGCAGGCGTTGGCATACCAGTTCAGCAGCTTTCATCATCACGAGCAGCATGGCGACGACGAGACCCGCGTCATGGATGTCATGCTGAGGACAGCCTTGCGCGGGCAGATCAAGTGACTGGCTATAGGACCAAGCTAGGCAGCTCCATGCCGCAACTAGCACCGCAGGAAGATTCAGAACTTGTGTGAAGGCCACAACTCTGAGCTACAGGCAGGTTGTCTTTCCAAAAGGTTCCGTCAGACCTTGGCTTTGTCAATCGGAGGCGTTCGTCGGCGAGGATCTTTCAATTGAAGACAAGGATTTCGCAACTCTGTTGGCCGAGTACTTACAGAGGACAGGTTTAGATAGACAAGATGCAAAATTCGGGCCCAATTGCCTGCCACACCCTGCTACAGCAACCTCGTGTCTTAGAGGAATGAAGATGATGACGATGACGACCAAGATCGTGGCGTGGAAGGTCCCACCAATCTGGTCGAGTGGATCTGCACCCTCGCCAGACAAACTATCGATGCTTAGCTGTACTCAACATTCCACGTCCACACGGTTGTGACGCATAAGCTTAAGGAGCAGATGAAGTCCGACCAGCAGTGGCAAGTGTCAATGAGCGGCTCAGAGACAAAATACTCCATGTTGAAGCAACTGTTCGACACAGCAGCGGAAATTGTACAAGGCCAGGCTGAGATGTGATCTCATCACTTGATATACACAATCGGGCATTTGCTGTCTGCAGGCCCAGACAGGGGCAATCAGCGTCTGCTTCTGGAAAGTGCCGCTTGGATTACTCGCAGCGAATGTCATGAGCCAAAGCCATCTTCATTCATGGACCAGGAAAGCTCTGTCTTAGGAAATTCTCCTCGATGTGAACCAGCTCTGGATCCGACAGCGTGGCGAGCTCAGAGCCGTAGAATTCACAGAATCAACATGGGCATCTTGAATGAATTCCTCGACAGTTGAGCGAAGGAGCTTGATTTCTGAAACTGCAGCTGCTCAGGAGCTGATGAATTCACGTTCCGTGCGCTCCTGCAAGACAACGAAGATTTGTTCGAGTCCTTCATGAAGCTGTTGCGCTCCATGCGAAATTGCCACACAGCTTCACCATCAAGCCTTTACCTTGAGTTGGAGTCACCGGTAGCTCTCCAGCCAAGCCCTGACAGGTGGTCTCTTAGGCCATGTTTGGGTCCTGCACTGAATCCCTTGAGCCACACAGATTGGGAGGGCTTAAGCCAGCAGCTCCAGTCTTTCCAAAGCGGGATAGCCATGCCTCAGGGGTGACTGCAACTTGTTGCAAGGATGACAAGTCAATGACAAGAAAGAAAAAAGTAACTTGTTGTAGCTTGCATGCATCACGCAGTCATATCGAAGGTTGACGCGCCGATAGCTCTCTATTTGATTTGACGCCGATAGTGAGCTTTGGGGAATTCAATATCAAAACAATCTGAAAGGATGCCCGGTAGAAGCGGCAACTGCAAGCGAAAATGGGAAGCGTTGATCATGCTGGCGCCAGCGCCGCATCGCCTACGGCGACGCCTCGCGCCTTTCAGGAGTACGGAGGGACCCCTGGCACACTGCTGCCAACACGACCGACTCCAGCAAAGTACAGTATCTTTGTTGTGTTGCATACTGTTCTGTTTGAACGCGGTCTCTTTCAGTAGACGGCGTATGCTCCTTCGTCCGCCGGGCAGCACGAAGTGGCGCTTCAGCCACGCAGGAATGGTGTTGTAATCCCCCCAGTTGCTACTATGTGGCTACAGTTGTGAAAAAGACTCAGGGTCAGCAATTAGAACAGGTCACTGCAGAGCCAGGATTTTGAATCATCAACATGATGCAAGTTCAGGTGAGATCTCTGTGCTGAAATTCCTGATGTCTCTTCTTGAAGAAGAAGAACTTGACCCAGAGGATCCAAATTACAGGCTGCTTCAACATGATTCTGCTTTGTGCTTGCAGCTCTGAACGCGTTAGGGCTGGCTATAAGAAAGAGATGTGTCAGGCAGATCTCCGAGGAGGTGGTGGAGCACAAAGGATCCACAATTCGACGCATGGTCGAGGAGTTGAGTCCTAAGATCATATGCGACAAGGCGGACTTTGATTTGCTCGGCAAATTCAGCGTGAGCGGATGCCTTCTTGCCCCGCTAGCTGTGCGCAGGTCATCACACACTGGAATCTCTCTCCAGAGGTTCATGACCCGACAAACATGATCAAGCCCGTCCAGGATGCTGATGAGGTGGTGGAGAATGACACTGCCGCCGCTTGGCGACACGGGTTGGTATTCAGCCGCTTCAGGGTTTGACTAACTGCAGATAGACATACAGTGACAGTAATCTGACTGCGATGACTGAGCGGCCAGGAGCCGGTGATCCGGACAAAAGGCGAGAAAGAGTCAACAGACTACACTCTCCCAGAGCAGGAGGCCGGTTCTGCTTTCAGAAGAGCTTCAATAATGAGCCTCTTCTTAGAGAATGGGCCTTGTCTGTGCCACCGCGCCAGGAGCACTGCTTGGAGATATGCTTTTTATGCTGGGCACTTTTTGAAGGAATCCAACAAGCACCAGAATTTGGCAACAGGAGCTTCTTCAAAGGACAGGTGTTGCGCATATTCGTATGTGACTGCGTGCGGAGTGTCGAGCATCAATTAACGCAGTGGAAAGTCTGAAGCCGTCTAAAGGAACCCTGGATCGCAAGATGCGGAATCCGGTTCTTCACAGCCGCAACCAGCCCCCAGCCTTAACACGGGTTCGTGCGAATTATCAAGGCGTTGCCTTTCATTGTGCACAAAGGTCACACAAGCGCAGCTCGCAACACACCAGCTGTGTGAATTTGGAGTTCGTATGTGTCCTTTTGTGTTGTTTGCCTGTTTCTTTCGGTTCTCTGTTCTGGCCAGCAGGAGACCAAGCAAGCACTCAAGGCAGGAAGCGGCCGAACATGCTGCAGCGAAATAGCAGAGCACACAGTCAGCAAGCAAGCAACCACAAACAAGCAAACGTGCATTCACCACAGCGCTGTGAGGTTCCGCAGATTTCCAGATGATGTGTTAGGAGTACATGGAGCCCACCCAAGTAAAAACCAACTCCAGACGCTGTCTTATGCTTCTTCTCATCAAGATCGAATGTTGCAGCCTCATCCACGTTTGGCAAGGGGGGGAAGGGGGGGAGGGGGGGGATCCATCAAATCTTAACCCCCTGCTTTCAAATAAACCAAGTACGGGACAGCTTATCAAAGCTTAGGAGAAGCTACCTGTTTTCATCTTCATCCTTGCTTTGCAGTCCCCGACCCCGGCCATTTGCAACAGCTGTTGCAAATATGATTCTTTTGAACATGCCTGAAATCTTGTCGAACTGTGACAACAATCGACTTCATGTCATCCTCGCTCATGTTTTGCAAATTGGGGGCCCCTAATTCTTAACCAGACGCAATGCCTGCAAATCCTAAGGAGAATTGGAAAGAGCCTGGAGGTTTCATTTTTGCCCGTTCAAAATAAATTGGAGGGGTGCTTGCCGCCCAGCCCCGTGCAGTTGTTTTTACAGACGCTATGACAAGACAAGCAGTCTTCTCGTAGTTGCATCCTACAAAGACAACCAGCACGATTATGATTCCAATGTCGACGTTGTTTCTTCTTACCGTTTCTTCTTTTCGTTCCCATGTATACTACTCTTGTCCAGAGGTTCCAGATTTAAGTCGAAATCTTGTTCTCGCCTGGAGAGGCCTTACATGTGGGCAACAATCGAGCTCTCGCATTGAGCGTCCCCATTTTTTCGGGCGAGATCTTGTTCTTGCATGGAGTGTTTTCACATTTTAGCATGAAATTGGGAAGTCGTGATTTGCAGTTTGGCTCCATTGGCTCACAAACGCCTCTTGTGTGGAGCAGCTTCAAACTTGGCTCGAAACGAAGCTTTGGCGCAGAGCATCCTCACATTCTAGCTAACAGTCGGGCTCTTGCGCGCAGCTTCCTCACATTGTGGGCAGGCCAACAGAACGGAACAAAAGCACAAGAAACGGATGAAACCCGCGGAAAAAGGCATGTGCCCTGAAAGCTAGTGTGCCTACATCTCACGTGTCAGGAAGTAGGCCTCCGAGCTCAGAAAGTTTGCGTTCCGAAGAGCGCGAGAGCCGCTTCCGTGGTGGTGCCAGCTCACGATCATGCATGCATGAGATTTATCCCTGAACCTCGGTAGCCCCCTGAAAGATGCAGCAAACTGCTGATCCGTTTCAATGCCGCGGATACCATGAAGACCTGCAGCTGTGTGGAACCAAATCATCCCATTACTTCGCCTTGGTTACTCAAGGTGGGCCACGTCGAAGACGAAGATTTATGACACCTTCACGGACACTTTGCAGCTACAGACGAAAAGTGCTTTAGCCGTAAATGTCCGTGCACGTGCAATCGTACATACAGCTTTTGTACAAGGAAGGCGTCAGCAAGATGCACCACAGCCGCTTTGCAGCTATTTGATCTGTGCAGCTCAACATGTCTAAAAGGCTTTATTAGCAAATGGGTCCCCAAGGCAAGTACCTCCACTTTCTGTTCGGTCGGGTCGAGATCCAGCGCGGCCAAAGACTGCAGAAGTTGTTCTTTCTAGTCCCGGCGGCCATTCGAACTTTGAAGGGTCAATCACTCATCAAGGACAGGTTTGTTGACCAAAATTTGGGCTTGATTGGGGGCGATAGTGGCGTGTGGACTGCATGATGGGTGGCAAGGACTGGCAGGAGGGCTGCATCAACTCCGTGGATCGCAGTGGACCTGAAGCGAAGCTCCAGGATTTTTCCGAGCAAGTTTGGGATGAGTGCCTTGGAATAATTGTCAGCAGCAGCAAACATGTTCTATGCATTCACGGTTGCACTTTGCTTTGATTCAATTTTTGATGGAGGTACATTGGCTTCGTGGAACACCAGTACAATCTTTCTCAGAAGCCGTTTCCTTTGAAGCTTACCAGCATTAAGCATGAAGTTCCTTTCCCGCAAGAAGCGCTTTTCGCAGCACCTCGTTCTATGGATTCTATTCGAACTTTAGGATCCTGAGGAAGATCGCATTTGTGTTCCCTTCACTGCTCAATGTTTGCCAAGCCCGTCAGCTGAAGCCCTAGGACTTAGCATAACGGAACCGTGCTTCCCTCCCAACCTCCACTTGCATTATCCCTGTGGTGAGCGGAGCACGGCAGGTGCCAGAAATGCAGACTGTGTATTGTAAGACCATGCACTGGATCGCCCGTTGTTCGACGAGTCCAGACAAGCAGCCATTTACTGACAAAAGGATGTAGTCTGTGACGGGATGGGCGCCAGCACGGGGAGGCACTGCAGCAGGATGGGGACCAGACGTGCCGGAGCTCGCTGTGAAACAACAGTACCGAAAGCTCAGTCAATAGGTTGCATGTCGCAAACCAGATGATAAATGCAGACCTGCGACATGGGTGCCCTCCTGTGGCTCGCACGCCAACATCACTGCACAAACGACTCCAAACGTCTCCAAACCAGAACCAAAGGCTTCCTGATGCTAGAGGATGCTGGAGCTACGCTCCTGGCGGAGTTTGAGCTGACAACTATGCTAAATTGCTAAATTTTGCTGTTTACCCAGCTCCCTCAAAGTAGTTAATCTTTTGCCTGGCCAGGAACGCATCAGGAGAAGTCATGGCCGCAGCCCGAAGCATAATTGTGCTCCTCACTATCATTATCACCGGCCGGCAACTCAGGAATCCATATAGTCAGGGCTAGGTACTGATGCTAAACAGATGCCGAGCGCTTGTTCAGCTTGAGGCACGGTTGCGCTTGTCTATGACGGGTCCTACTCAAAGGAGCACAAAATGGGAGAGTACGCCACGCCATGCGTTTACAGAATGGATGTTGCTGCTTTGATCTGGTCGCCATGCGCACATCATCATACCACCAGCCTGCTTTACGTCGTGGCCTGCTTTGTACTTCATCTCTCCAGCACCTGCCCGTTGTCCTTCAGCTTCCCTGCAGGTGTATGTCAGGAAGTCTGCCAGAGCATGCTTAGGTGTGCACGGAGGGAAATGAGTGGATCCATATGTCGCTGTGTTGAGTATCTTGCCACAACTCAAAGGAGGCTAGCATCGAAAACAGGATGGCGTCGACATGAAGAAGCAAGTAGCTTCACCTCCCGACTCCGCGTGGTCAAAGCTCCCACGTGCTCGTCCTGCTCTGCTCTCTCCCGTTTCTTCTCGTTTCTTGCCGCTTCCCATCCACGAATCCCACGAATCCAGCGTGAGCTGACAAACCGGGATCTGGTTGAGGTACAACGTTCACTACGCCAAGGCGGGTGCTCCATGATGCCCAGAGGCTGTGTCACACTCGCTAGGATGAGTAGAGAGCGGATGACAGGATTGGTATGTTTGGGTCCTGTCAAGCCCTTATCCCTTGTGTCTGTTTTCAGTGTGCATAGACGCACTGGAGATTTCAACGAGGACTGCTTTGAGCACGGCACATTTCATTTGCGCCGTTCTGCTGGTGCTTTTCCACGCTCAATCCTTACAAGCGAAGGTGCAGCATGCAGAGTCTATCCATCTGCAAGTTGTACACAAGCCAAGGTCGTCGCCTACTCACAGTGGAAGATCGACACCGGCATGGACCAGTGGAAGGAGGAAAATCCACATTCGCATCACAGGCCCTTGGTGATTTGCTGCGTTCGCTTAACCAACCCCATGTTTGCCGCGCAGGCTGAACGGGATTTTCGGTGCCATTCTGATGCTGTGGTTCTTCCTTCAGGAAGAACTCCCCCTCCCTCTCCGCGGAAGAGACAAAAGCACGCTTTGTGAGAGTTTCTTGTTGGCCAGGACTCCGGATTGGTAAACAAGCTATTCTTGGCGGGGATCTCCTTCTTAGGTCTCCACTTCGACTTTTTGTGCCTTGTCTGCATTCTTCCCACTGCAGCGATGAATGGACCATGTGGACCCCGCAAGACCCCTCGCTCCAGGATTTTCTCCATCCACCTCATGTACGTGTGCGCACAGGCAACTCTGCTCGGTTTTGACCACTTGTGTCATGACAATGCCATGCATGGCTTGAATCAGTAATTACTCAATGAAATGTGGACCATCGGATTGAGCGCTGTATGCGATGTACCGCGCGGGTATGAAAACATGCTCCAAGGATTTTTCCAAAACAAATTGGCGACAGAAAGAACAGTTCAGTATCATTCAGAAAGCAGAGTCAGCTCCATTTCAAGACTGCGGCTGGAAGCCATGTACCCAGTGCTGCAGCGATGCATGAAACGCGACATTGTTTAAAAGCGTAGTACATCATGTCATGAGCGCATCCGAAGCAATCATGCCAAAGCAGCCGCGTGCTCTTGAGCATCTTTTGGTGAAAGCGAGCGGAACCTGCACGTGCCACAACACGTTTCACCCAAAGCATCCAGCCCCTGTGAGCATGAAGACGGGGACTGCTACATTGAAATACATTTAAAAGGTTCAGAAACTAAAGTCGATCTTGAATTGGAGGTTCAAAGGCCAAGGCTTCACTGCTCAGGATAAGATCTTGCTCCCTACGACAGATGGTGTGAAGCAAAACGGCCTGCCCGACTGAATCACCTAAGCTCGTCGACGTGACGTTAGAGCTTACTTAGTCCAAAACGACAGCGCTTAACAAATCACTTCTTGCACATTTCCTACCAGCCCCCTATGTCGGACAAAATCTGTAGGTCTAGTTGCCAGATCTGCGCATTTTGATTTGGCCGTTCTGTGTTTTCTCATTCAAGGCCGTGTCTTGTCCAGAATCGTGCTCGATTAATTCTACTGCCTGTGTCAGCGAGACTGTTGACGCGAATGAGATTCTTGCAATTTCAGGAATCAGGTGCTCCCAGCGTCCGAATCCGCTGGGGCATCGACAGCATTGATGTCATATGTTGCAGCAATAGACGCCAAGTAGCAGTTGCACGCCTGTCGTCTTGCATATCCTTGCAGCTAGAGTTGCAGGTGGAGACCTTGGGCAAGGTTTTTGAGGCCCTGTGGATCACCAAGGATCAGGTTGTAGGCGCCCAGCTCCGCATTGTTGTGCAACATTTCTTGTTGCTGCGTTCTCCCTGGTTGCACCCACTTGGGGCTGCATGAGGCACCGCAGTACTTGGCTTCTGTGTCCCAAGCTGAGCGCCCCACTCTGCGCCTGTCGTACCAGCTCCTGAGGAAGCAACTCCATGTTCGCAGGTCCAGTACTGCTTCTTGGTGTTGGGTTTCCTGACGTTCTCCAAAGGCTACGGCTTCGCTGTACCTCTGCTGAAGGATGAAAAAACATGACTCGTACAAAAGCAGCCTCGTTGCTTTAAAGGCTTTGAGACAAGAGAGCTGAGGACATGGACACCTCGGAGTGCTCCTCGCTGATGGAGTGCCTGCCACTGGGCAAATCGTAAGCCTGGACAGGAGCACATGACGGCAATGCCCTGCAATGCCGTTTGAAGGGCTTTAGATCTTGAGAGTGATCTAGCTGAGAGGCTTGCCCACTTGGATTATGGCTTCCGTTCGGGGCCCGTCTGGTCGTCCGCAGAGCTGACTTGGTGGAAGCATCCTGATTGCAGTAAGCATAGCATCAGGGCATGCGGACGTTCTTTCAAGATCTTTCACAACATACGTAAGAAGCTGACCTAGAGACGCTTGTAGGTTTGCTTTTGACTACCTGTACAACTTGGTGGTGATCCTGATCTTGGCTGCCATCATCTCCGGAATCATTATTGACACCTTTGCCAACATGCGAGCTGATCTATCAGAGAAAAATGACGACCAGGAAAACAATTGCTTCATTTGCGGCATCAACCGGTCGCAGATGGAGCGACAGATGGTGAAGTTTGAACATCACGTTTTTCAGGCTGCCTTGCGCTTGCGTTCACACCGCTCGCAGATCCGTGGAGTGGCTGCATAAACAACACGAGACTGCCTCTGCCAGGAACACTACATGTGGAGCTATGCTCGCTTTCTTATGCTGCCCGGCCGCAGCAGGACTGATCATTTGTAGATGTTTCGCTGCAGCTGCTTCTCACGGAATTGCGCACTGAGCAGTCTTATGATTTACTGAAAGTATAGTGCCAGCAGCATCATGCCGTGAACCCGCCTCGGCCCATCGATGCCGTGTGTCAAGCTGAATGGCCTTGTAGACTCTGCGCAGTCCCCTTTCTCTGAGGTATCTCAAGCAGGCAAAGGACTCTGACTTGAACGGCCCAGAGTCCTTCGTTAAAGCCAAGGTGACTCGGCAGGCCGGATCTTGCGCTGAGAGTCAATTTTGCAACCAACGTGGAGGCAGCGTAATCTTGCCAGCAATTCTCGAGGACTACACGTTCTACCCGGTCAATCGGGCTCTGACCCTCGATTCAGATGACGCCGAGGCCAGACAGTACCAGTTGCAACTGGCGGCTTGTCTAGAGTGCTTGAGCAGGCTTCATCCATCTTCAAACAACTTCCATGCTCAAACAAGTGTTGCCGAAACCCCTCAAAACACGCGCCAAGCCAAAACCACCCTCAAACCGCGCTCAAACCCCCTGCCTGAACACCGCGCCAGATTCAATCCTGAAGCTCACGTCAAAACAATGAAGAAGGCTTTTCTGAAAATTGCAAAACCTCATCAATTCCACGGCAAACCACCCAACACTTTTCTTGAAGAGCCCCGGAGCCAGAACCACGCGGCTGCGGTTTTAAAGGCTTGTGATCAGCTACGGGGCAAGGAAACCGCCTGGAACCAGACAACAGGGCAACCAACTGCTCCGAACCAGACAAAACGAAGTGCTGCACGGCTCCGCTTGCTGGGCTATGGTCTCGCTTTGACCCTCATTCTCTTTTGGAATTCAAAGGCGTTATGACAGGTGAGGCTCTCAACTTTGAGAGAGGTTCTAGGCACGTGCAAGAATGCGCGGCTTAACACGACGGATTTAACTCTTCCGGGTAGGAGGATCCTCTGGTAGAAGTTTCCGCTTACAACAAAAGTAACTTCTTCCTTGGGCATGACTTCGCGCCTCTGAAACACATTTTCTTGAGCGCTCTTGAAATTTTCAAGTTTTGTGCTGTCTTCTGGAGGGCTTAGCCGCTCACTCTCAGGGACTTTGCAGTGTGGAGCACAGCGGATCAGAGTGGCAGAGGATGTGACGTCGAATGTTGCACACGTTCACACCAACGTGAAGACATTCAGTTGAGGTCCTTTTGAACCTGTACCCTGGACTTTGCGCCCAATCGAGAGCATCGTCAACACATGTTTGCAAGACACTAGTTCAGATGGTAGACTCGTACAGGAGTCGCTGCTGAGCTTGCTACACGGTCAACTATACATTATAGGAGGTGGGTGCCACAAGCTCCAGTCAGAGGTTTGTTCCTGCTGCTTCCGAAATGAGTGGAGCAGCTTGTGAGCACTGCGATGCGATTGCTGCCTGTCGAACCAGACGATTGCAGATATGAGAAGCGATTATTGCTGGGTGTGCATGCACGGACACCTTGCGTTCATAATCCATGTTCGCTTCAACAGGACTACACAGAGCGCCAAGTTCGTATCAAAGACTTGGAAGAGATGCGTGGCTCTGTCTTCGGCTAAGCAACACCACGGCAGCACTTGACACTTTCAGAACTTCTCCTTTTGCATGACAAGGTGCGGCAGTGCACCGAAACCTCACAGCATATCCTGCAGCTCAAGAGAGAGCTCAAGAAGCTCGAAAGCAAATAGATGCGTCATTCTTGATGCGTAACATACTCGGCTTATACTGATACATGTGGGCCTCATGTGGGTAGGCGTGGCAGCTTTGACTAAATCGGCCAGGACAGTCATGAAAGAATCCAACGAGGCAGCTACAATCTCAGCAAGGACATACCTCGCCAAGGGCACACATGCATAAACGGAGGTGTGGCCACCAAGTTTGCATGCTGAAAAAGTGGTAAGGTTGCCGACATGCAGATGCGCCTGCAGCTGCTTACGGGCGACGTGCACAAGAAGGTGTGCGATGCGTGTTGGCCGCATTCAGCTGCTCCCAAGCCATGTTCTGATGCAGGTTCAAGAGGCGATGCTTCAGAAAGCAGCCCAACAAGCTGCAGGCTCAGCCATTTGATCGATTTTGGACACTGAACAGTTTCCGTAAGCAGGAGAGAAGTGAAAGTTGAAGGGCTCATCCACAAGACGGCGCTACTGATGCTACTGCAGCTCCCTTCAGGCGCGACGACTTGCTTCAAGAATTGTGACTGGTATTGCGAATCTTATTTGTAAGCATCATCAGTCAATAAAATCATACACTTACAGAGCGCGGAGGGTGCCATTTTTTAACATAAAGCTCTGCGCCGACCGTGACGGCCTGGGCACCTTGGGTGACAGCTTGTTACTCACGGCAGAATGACAGATCTTCCAGAAAAGAGGTTGACGTGCAGGTAAGATAGGTAAGTTTGCAGATAGGGCAGATCAAGAGACTGAGAGAACGAACAATTCGCCATCCAGGTCTGCTTTATGCCCTAAACTCAACTGATCAGCCTGCAAGGCTGCACAGCAGCATTCTTAGAAACAAAATTCATGTGCTGAGCTTGTGGGCACTCGCGGCTCAAAGTGCGACACCTCCAGAACCTACACTTAGGACGGTCAGAAAAAAGAGAAACCGCTTAGCGGCCGGAACGGCTCAAACGCATGACGTTATTGCACGCATGCTTTCAGTGACCCCCAAAAAAATGACGTCATATCACAGTGCCAGCAGTAAAGTAGCAATTTGACCCAAAGCATGTCCCTTCAGGCCCTTCAGGGAAGCGGTGCAGAGCAAGGGCCAGGGCAAGTTCAGACTTGGACGGAGCGGAGCCACGCTGCAAAGCACCACAGGCACTATGTGCATCCACATGGCATGCCGCAATCCAGCTGGTTCACTCAGACGATCACATCAAGGACTATTCTTGCGAAGCTAGCCCTGCCGGAGAAGATGGACGTGAGCAACGAAGACCGAGAGATATCAGGAGCAAGCCGGGCAGAGTTTCAAGCTTGCAATTCGCATTTGCATGCGTTCGCTTGTTCTGTGGTTCTCGCCCGCTTGGATGCCATCCGCTTGTAGTTAGCATGTCCATATGACAACGAGCGTTCTGAACAGCGTACCTTCATATCGCAGAGGTGAGCATTCTAATAGATGTAAGCCATCCGACTTTGTTCAGAACGATCATCTTTGAGTGTGACTGTACATAGCCGTGCTTTTGGCCAAAGATGTCAGGAGTAGTTATCTAGCCTTGGCAAGCTAGCAAAGATGAATGAATTCAAACTAGTCTCACGCAAGATGCATATGCTGCTCGAGCAGCATGCGTGAGCGTAAAGGGTGCAGTCCATTTGCTTGAAATTGGCTTCTGCACATCAACATATAGCAGCGTTCCATCCCCCATGCAGCACTTGGGGGTTCAGTCCGAGCAGACCGTCTTAAGCTCACACTGGCCACCATGCAAACTTGCAATCGAGACATGCCTCCTGCGGATGTCTTCGGAGTAGCCTTTGCTAGAGAAAAGATAGGAATTAAAAGCATGATTGTTCAAGGATTCCTATCACTTCCTGCCATGGCACCATGCCCAGTTGTCTTGAAGAGCACGCAGACATAAATGAGCTCTTCCCAGCGTCTGACAAAGCCAATTGATGTCGACACATGCTCCTGGCAGAAAGTTCTAGATTCTGCGGCGCAGGAGCGCGAAAGACTCGTTGCCAGCCTAAGGCAGGAGCTCTCACTGCTGGAGAAACTGACGAGTCAAGCGGTTTCTTCGCTATCAGCATGTCCTCAGTCGCTGGCTGACAGTGCGTCGCCACGGTCACCTGTGAAAGAATGGACGGAGTCTCCTGCCTACCGCGGTTCTACGTCCCCGGGACAGTCCCAGTTTCAGCTGAGAATGAGCCAGCCTGGCTCAACGCAATGGCCCGCGATGTGCAGCAGGTCAGCTTCGACTCCGTGTTTGGCATCCGCTCAAGGTGGTCAAAACACCAGCGCCTGGCCATCCTCTTGCAAAGCCTATGCTTGTCCTGCAGGCTCTGCATGTTCTGGCTTTTCGCCAGCCGAGCTAGCACCAACAGTCCAGAAGCCAAAGCAACAGGAAGTCACCCACACAGTTGCTCGGGGTTCAGTTCGAGGTCTCCCGGTTTGGCCACGGAGCAATCCATTCAGCCGCAAGGGTCCTGTCGAACCGGTGCAGACACCTCCGCGTCCGCGACCCCTGGTGCATCTGTAACCTCGCTTCACACCGATGCAGATCCTTATGCCTTCTGCCAAAGGAAGCGGTGCAGAACAGGTAGGTGACCTTTGGGTGATGCGGAAGCATTTCTCAAGGACAAATGGCCTGGCGGCTTGACGTCAAAGAACGTTCTCGCAGCTCCAAAGCTTTTCAGAGCTGGAAGCCGTGGCACATGCCGCGATTGCCAGAAACAGGCACAGCATCCTTGCAGCTTGCATGGTAGAGCGAGAATCGATAGTACATCTAGCCATGTAGTAGACTACACCTCGGCTCTGAAGGGGAGCATCTCGATATTTTGCAGCAAAGGCACCTGTTATGCTATATGAGCAAGCCCTTTCTCACAAAGCCACTGTGAGTGACAATGGTGCTGTAGCGCATGGGGTTCGCTTTTGCCATGACCGCAGAGGAGGACAGCCGAACCGGTACCTGATCCCCATGACATACGCCGAATGAAAAATGGATTGGAGTAAATCTGGCCAATTGTCGGCCTTACCCAAGAATGTCAAGGATGCAGGGGGTGGGCAGCGGACGAGTCTGCAGGCTGGTGGGCCAAGGGGCGAGGAGTGCGTGGAGATGCCCCATTACTCCGCTAGAGGATTTTGAAGAAGGAGCTTTTGAAGAGGTTCCTCAATTGCTGCCTGAGGGGCCTGATGCTTGTTGCCTACGCTCAACAATCTGTCCTTATCGCAGCAATTCAGAAGCAGAACGCATGTCAGGACCCTGAAGAAAAAGCAGCGTGGGTAAGCACCTCAGGCCTCAACTTGATATTTAGCAACTTCCTAAAGCGTCAGGCTGCTCTTCGCGCTGCCTTTGGAGAGAGCGGCGAGACTGACTTAATGCTGTGAAATCGTTTGCGGCATGGAACACTTCCACTGTTCGCATGAAATTTTCTGCTGACATGGGTGTGGTGCAGGACTGAGATCAAGGCGTCGACAAAGACTGGAGCTCTTGGCTTGGGCCTGCCAAGCAAGGTTAAGACTGCCTCCAGGCAACCCTTTGCGTTCTGTGATTTAGACTTGGAAAGTTGCCTTGCGCAGGTTACAGATTGATGCGGACACCTCGAAGGTATCCACGTCAGGCTCTTCTTCGTTTACTGTATGACAGGGGTTCTACTGCGGCAAAGATCTAAAGTCTTAAAGTCCTTTACCTTGAGTGTCTCTCCAGAGCGCGACACCGCTCTTCAAGATTCTCAATCTGGTCACTGGCTTCAAACAGAGGCACGTGAGGGGTCTGTCTGACTACTGAGATGACAGCGTAAAATGTCTCTACTCCAATGGGCTCGCATGGAGTTTGTCAAGGTGGACAGACTGGTTGGTGAAATTCAGCGCGTTGCAGGGCAACCTTTCTCCGCAAAGCTGCCCCCCGGCCATGACCGAGCGGCAGCATTGCGATGTTAGAGAAATCCTGGCACGGTGTTAGAGCCAAGGTTAGAAGCACTGTGGAGTTTACCATTGGAGGAGCAGCAGGATGCGCTTGGACCTTAGCTTCCTAAGACAGCAACAAATCCGCACAGGCTAGGCCGCTAGGCTGACCAGAAAATGAAGTTATCGTGATTGCAGCACGAGTTTGCAGTGGCAATGCCGGGGCAGCTGTGTTCATCTCAGACTTGTTGCAGCATGTCTGCTGCAGACGCGGTATGCATTTCATGGCCATAGCACGGCAGGCTTCCATCAGGCACATGCAGTCACAGTGTTTGTTCTCATTCCGCCTTTTCTTGGCTGTGTTCGCGTGGTGACCACGGGAAATGGGCTGTTCTGCTTATGAGTAGCGTCAGTGGTCAAGCAAGAGAGGGGTGGGTGCAGGGTAGCTGACCTAGCGATGCCTCAGACATGATGGCAATATTGCAGCATTCAGCTGTTTACTTCAGCTGAGCCACATGTTTTCCTGGTTCTGGAAGACGAGCAAGTATCAGGGCCGTGCACAAGGTCAAAGGGCATTGCAAGCCGAAAACAAGTTTTTCCTTTGTGCGCGAAAGTTACGCCAAAGCGCTTATTCATGAAAGGATCGTGGAAGCTGAATTCTCGGAAGGCCTTTCAAAGAGAGCATACGAGGTGATCGACGGTAGCCGCGTTTTATTTGAGACCGGGGAAGATCTTCTGGCTATGTTCGCCGAAGTCGAACACTCTAACACTCGATGCCCATGAAATGTCTCATGACCTCAAGATCCTATTAAGGGTCCTATCAAGTTCCTATGCAAATCCAGAAACTCCATCAGGATCCTGATCAACTCCGACAAGAGCGCCATGAAAACCCACATGAACTCTTCGCAATGCTTGCCATCCCACCGAAATGTCGTAATGTTAGCAATGCCTTACTCAGTAAATATAAGCCTCCGGTAGAATAGAGGAGAAGAATGTCAAAGTGAAAAATTGCTCAAAAGCTCCAGTACTGCATCTACGGAGAGGAGGTTCGCGGAAGCTTCGTGGGAGCGACACGGTAGCTCGAGTGGCGAATTGTGACCCCAGAGACTGCTTTGCTGAAATCCTCTGTCCGAAGAATCATGGCCAAAACTGCAGCTAGGACTCAGAATTGCTAAGAACAGCTAGCATAAGAATCGGAGCAATGAATAGCACCCGCATCAGTCAGAGGCATCAGCAGCAGCAGCAGCACATCATATCTCGCAGTGAGAGCGAATAGTGGAGCAGCGCAGGACGGCAATCCAACGAAACTTGCGCGTACTGACAAGGTTGTTCAAGATTGACATTATACTTGCGGAAGCAAGTTGGGAAATCCTGCCGAACATGGTTGACGGAAGAACTCCGCGAAGTGAGGGGACAAAAGCCCTTTGCAGTAGCACTTTCATCGAGGAAGAAAAAGTACGCAGGAAATAGCCACCACAGCTAAGCTATTCTTGAAAACGTGCCCCTTCGATCTCCTCCGCTCCAAGGCTGCTGGGAGCCCGTGCGCTGGGCTCTAGAAGTCTGAGTCCAAGCAACGTGTGGCAGCCACTTCGTGCACTATGCTCCGTGCCGGAGAGAATCTGGAGAGGTGACGACAGTGTCTGGCAAGTCTTGGCTGACGAGGCTCAGCGCCTGGAGCACGGCATTGTCCGCAGCCATATAGGATGCATTAGTCCTGTGCCAGGTTCATGCAAGAGGTGACAAGCCGGCCCGATTCCTGTGCTTCCGATTCCTTGGTTGCCTCGTTTGAAGTTGGCATGCCCGAGCTGAGGCCAAACCCCTTGCATTGCCAACTCCGCCAGATCCTCAGAGCAGCGTGTGAAAACGATAGGAGCTGTACGGAGCTGTAAATATCACGAGTCTTCACGTTGATGCACGCGACTTTTAGGCCTGGATCGCGGCAGATAAAAAGGGCGAGAGGCCAGACAATGACTCGTTCCAGTGAGAGGCGCTTCGCACTGGGAAAATTGGCTTGGAAGGCCCTGCTTCTCGACAGCGTTCTCGCTCGCGATCACCCTCGATTTGATGAAAAAGGAGTTTAGTAGCGAGCGACAGAATAGAGTTGAATCCGTAGTTGCTGCAGCATGATATCTCATGGTCTGATAGCCCGCCTCTTTCGCTGCAATCCGGCTCATGCCGCGAAACAGTGCTTCTTGCCTGCTGGACAACCTCGGTGGCCGTGGCGTAGATTTGCTGCTCATGTCGAGATTGCACGCTTTGCTATAGCTACTCCCAGTTGGCAGGCAGTGCAGCACGTCCTACCTAACAGTTCGTGCCCTACATCAGCCTGTGGCGGATTCCAAACAGCATGCTTTCATGTTGGCGTACGGTCAGGCTACATCTACCAGGGAGATGACAGGCTGGCGTTTGCTTCCTAGACCCGTTGCACCTCGATTTGTCGCAGCTTGAAAGGCTACCAGATGCTAGCTGAGGTGGAAGCATGTTGCTAACCACGCTGCTCTTGCTAGCACAAAGCCTTGCCAAGAAGAGTGGGCCAAAACCTCGGTGAAAAGCATCAAGCTTTTGTTCTCATTCGGCAGGATTTGCTTACGTGAGAGCCTCAATCAGGCTGGGCCTCAACTGCGGCAGCACAGGTGCATGCGATGCGCGGTTCTTTGTCAGGGAGTGCACTGCCTGTCATCCAGCAGCTTAGTGCTGAGGAGTTTGAGGTGGAGCTCGCCGAGGAAGAGTTAGCTTCTGAAATGCAGGCAAGGTGCCCATGACCATGTTTGTTAGAGGATTAGAGGATGATGAAGATGGAAGCAGCTACAGTACATACCATCGGAGATTTGAGCCTGGCTCTGTGTCAACACGGCTCCAGCTCCGGGAGCATAGCCGCCAGCATGGACCCAATCTTATTTCAGGCACTGGAACGCATATGACTCCTGAAGACGTGTCGAAACAGTGTTTAAAGACGCGTCAACGTCCTGACCCACCCGCGAAAGAAGACCGGACCTCACCTAGCATGCTGAGAATACTGGCAAAGCTATTTTTGCTTTCTTGAAGTTTAGGCCCCAAGTAGAGGTTCTTCATCCAAAACTTGGCAAGCCCCCTGGCAGTGTCTTTGTTCCCGCAAGGGTTGAACAGGAAGGCTGTTTGATCCACAGGGGGCCGCCTGGCCAGTCAAAGCTTCTGCTACCATTTTGCTGCAGACCTGTTGCAGGTTGAACTCCTACAGAGGATGCCAATGGACATTCGCCTCGCAGCAAGTGCGCAAGCAGCCGAGGCCCCGGGCAGGGCATCCGGCTTCTTACTGGAAACACGATGCTGGAGGTAGCCAGAGCAGAAGATATAAAAAGCAAGGCATGTCTAGTCGATCACTTAGCCGCGGCCTTGGTGGCTTTTCCTCCTTGGAGCCCGGCTGCCTAGCAAGCCCCTGCACAAGGTTGGTTCCTGGCACGTAGAGGCACATTTCTTGGATGATTTGCTATTCTGATATGTGATAAACTGGTCTAAGAGTGGCCCAGTGAAATCCAAATGCAACAGAACGCACTGGGCATTGACGGTGTGACCGTGCTCCTCGAGATCTTGCCAAGGCTAGGAGTGGCAGAGGAATTTCCGTATCCATTGCAAGACGACTGGTGTGATCACTTATGGTTGCGAGGTCATCCAGCGCGTGTCAGGAAGCCAGCGCCCCATCTTGAAACGGCAGCCGTGGCCATGGTCCAAGTTTCGAAGGTGGTCGGTCATATACATTACTTGGGAAAGAAGACCCAGCGCCGAACTCAGATGAGCGACGGACTAAAGTTCGCTCTCTTGAAACATGTCTAACATCGGTCAGAATTCCTTTAAATGTTGCATTTGGTCTGTAAAATGAGATGGTCCCCTCCAAATAAGGCCAGCAGCTCTTCATGTCCTAATGTCACTTGGTTTACATTGTAAAGCACGATTCAAGGCCCAAGTGAAGTGCTGCAAAACAATATTGTATTAGATTTTCATGGAGTACATGAGGTACGGGGGTTGTGTACTGCCCTCATGATCGTGGTTTTGGAACAGCGGCGTAGTAGACAGGGAGTCAGTCCTTCATGTTGCCGCAACAAGCACCTGTCACACAGCTATCCTTGAAGAGTGGGCAGGGGACGGATGCGCAAGGTACTCAGTTTCTGCTACGCCACTGGACAGCGGAAAGCTGCACGTGAAGTATCTCAACAATCAGGACCAGTGCTATTGAACAAGCATGTCTTGAAAGTTGTCATCCAATGACCAGCTGTAGCATCTGTTCCAGCCATGCAGTTATCGAGCATATGCCGCGGATCGAGACTCCATGACATTCTAAAGAGCTTTGCAATTCATTCTGGCACATGAACCGCACAGCATAGACAAGCAAGACCAGAGCAAGTTGTGTATAATGGGAGCCAACAGCATCACATCTGCAGCATTGCCGCCGGGGCCCAAGTATCAGCAGATAGATCATCAGACTCCGGCATTTGTGGAGACGCAGTACAGAACAAATCATCACTGCAGGCTTGCAGGAATCGGGGTTTTTCTCGCGAGGCCTACGCCGCTGGGCAGCAGGCCAATACACCGCAGCAGATCCAATGTAAGGAATATGCAAGAGTGCACGTTCGTGCATAGAGCTGAGGCTTTGGAAAGAGGTGGTGTGTCCGTTGGTGGTTTCCGTCATCAGGCTGGAGGATAGTCGGAGGCCCTTACTTTTCCAGCCAGTCATGCTCGGATGCTTGTGCGCAGTACGCTGGTGTCGCTCATTGTGCTCTTTGGGGCAGCACTACGTCCTCAAGCAGATGCTTTGGTCCATGCTGGATGGCCAGGCAGACCAGCTGCATTATGCTGAAAGAGTTTCCGTGCGTAGTTATTCTATTCATTGCTGCGAATTTAGCTGCAGAGACGTGATGTTTCCATGTCGCTTCGCTTGCTGCCGTGCAAGCCGCACACAGCGATGTGGCTTTCTGAAGGATGGGTTGCCTGGATTTCTGGAGTGCTGCTGGTCCTCGCAGAAGTGGCCGTGATCAACATCATCCTGATGCTGGTGAACCCGCTGCATTCTGCGACAACTCTATCGGATTCCTCATCTTGCTCTCGTTGAGCCGCGTATTGTGTTCGAACAAGACTGAGGTTCTTTTTGGCTGTGCCCGCCCCTCGTGGCCGCGCGCAAGACATGGTCCATACATCTCCGAACTGCCGTGAAAGCCGAGGTACAATCCAAGATCATTCGGGCAGTCTTACAAGAGAAGCTTGTCAAGCATAAATAGCAAGCCAAAGCCACCTGGCAAGCAAAGAGTGTGTGGCAGTCAAGGAAGGGGATTATGGACCAACTGCGCACTGAATTTGCTCAGCGCGGAAAGGAGCTCCCCGAGGCAACAGGCAAACAGCAGGTTTACTGCGGACTGCTGACGGCAACAGCCCTTGATTGTAAGCAATCCTGCTTGAAACGGATCTCCAGCATCTCAGCATCCAACAACAGGCCAATTGCTTACGGGATCTCGGTCACAACCTGCTATTCCTGCTGGGAAGGCACCGAAGTCTGATTGCTGTTATACTAATTGGTTGTTGGCCATTTGCATCGACAGGCTGCCGCTGATGATTTTGACACTGCCGCTTCATGGCGTGCCTGTGTTGGGACAGGCGCGTTTGTTCCGAAGCACCAGAGGCAGACCTGAACCAACAAGCTTGTGCACAGCCACGGCACCCTGCCAGGTGGCCTGGGTTATGTTGAATGGATGGATCTACGCATGGGAATTGGAAGCTGAGTTCCTTGTGTTGCCACTCACTGAGAGTTGAGTAAAACAGCTTACCATGTCATTATGTCAACAGCATGGCGCTGAAATTGCGTGACCTCTTCATGAAACGCTGAGTGCACGCGAGCGGCACCGATGCCATGAGCAATGGCGCTTCGTCAGCAAACGCTTTGGAGCATTTGCAGGCCGCTCAGACATGATGGGCACGGAAATGGCAGTACCTTTGGGTGTCACATGGCAGGGTGAGGTGGACATGAAAAATGCGGAGTGCAGATGGCATTCAGTCAAAGAAGATATTCGGAGCCTGCACGAACTAACACCTAGCTGCCGGTCTGTGCAAGTTCTTAGGCTTTTGTTCTTGCTCATGTGCTGATAAGCTCATGTCAGGCTTTGGCTCAACAGCAATGGCACTGGAGTTGACGCTTGGCATGGTTCAGAAGCAGCAGCAGCAGCAGCAGAGGAGTACGTCTCGCCCTCGAAACAGCATGACACAGTTAAAGGCCAAGAGCGCAATGACAACAGGGCAAAACAGCAAAGCTGCACTTGAATTGGGTATGCCGGGTTGCTAGCACCGACACCTCCCGTAACCACAGAGCTCCCAAACGCGAGCGGCTCAACAGGAGCCACTAAGGCCTAAGGGGTTGCTCAGTGGCCTCGGGGGCGCGAGCTCTCAGCTATACAAGAGTGCCCCCACCCCTCACCCTTTGAGACAGCATTGAGAGCAATGCATCCCCCCATTTTTTTGTTTGGGAGGGGAAGCCGCGGCACTGTGTATAGTGCCTCCCCGATTCCCGATTTCAATGCTAACAGCCATCGGGTTGTACGAAAGGCAAGAATCAGCATTCTTAGCGGGTCTCCCCATTTCCATAGGCACCGGTAGCTCACGGCAAGCCCGCTGACAGTGCTGGCATCGATAAATGGGTGATACCGCAGGGGGTATATATGCCACGCTATTGCCTGCCACTGCAAAGCAGTGCCCCCCCCCCCCCAAAGGGCAGACTTCAGAAACTGGCAAAAGATGCTGCCCTGCTTGGGCTCTGCCCAGGATTCCCTTCGTTGGTCCCTGGATTTTCTTCGCATCTAATGCTTGTGGCGCAGCTTTGCTGGCAGAAATCTTCTTCAAGGAGCTCACGGTCCCTCCCGGTGCAGAATATGCTTAGTACGCTCGATGCTGCAGTTGCAGGAGACGCATATGCACAGCAATGGAGCATGGACCGCGAAGATGGCGCAGAATGCTCATGTATTAGGCCGCGCGATGATAACCTCAACAAAGCATGTTTGGTTTGACGTGGTGTGGATTTGGATGATTTTGGAGGCCTCTCGAGCTCTTCGGAGGGCAGCCGACCAAATGAATGTTAATCGCTCAAAGACTGCCAATCGGGCAGCGCCGCATGCAAAGCCTCGCGCGCAGCCCTGCATTCCATAGCTATGTACAGAGAGATTTCTGGTGCCGTACTCGTAATGGTGTGAGTGGGATGCATGTGCTCATATCCTCACAACCTGGTAGTTCCTCTGCCCTGAGTGCCAGGCAGAGCCGGGATATTTTCACGAAGGCGAGTATGATCTGGCTAAGGACCTCCTGTTGGAGGACAGATTCAGTCAAAGTCAAACCACCTCATGAAGTCAATATCTTGCAACAGGACCTGGGCGCAGTGAATGGCGAGAAGCAGAATGAAAACATGTTGGAGTCTCAGATTCAATTTCTCCAGCAGCACAAGCTCATGAGATAGATATTCACCTAAGTTGCTTGGGCCAGGGAGCTCGTCTTCAAGCGTGCCAGAGCTTCATGAAAGCGGGATTGCAACCGAGAAATTGATAAAATCTGTTATCAATACCATCAATAATCGGGATGGCTCAGAATTTATTATCGTCAGGGGATTAAAACATTGAAGTGGATAGACGGCCCGTAGATTCAAATAGTAGTTGAAGATCAGATCGAATCCCATTTGAAAGAAATTGAGAGACAAGAAAAAATCATTACAAATAATAGATCATATAAACGAAAGATGAAAAGATTTTATCATAAGAGTATATATATATATACCTCAATAATACGGCGCGGCCACTTGCGGCCATTTCGCTCGCGCGCAGCCTAGCTTTTCCGGCTCACCTCTAAAACGCCTCCTGCGGGCTTTTTAGGGGCTTTAAAGTCTCGGAGATTTTAGGGCCCTTCGGAAAAGCTAGAGGCTCTAAAATCTTCGAGGTTTTTCGTGCGGGCGGCTCGACCCAAAATCTCGGAGATTTTTGGTCGCGCGGCCCTTGTCTCCGGAGCGATCTTCTGCGTGATTTATCTCTCTTTGGCTGTCTGCGCGGCTGGTCGGCGGAGTGGATGGACCCTGGACGGAAAACCAAAATCTTTCAGAATTGAAAAGGGGCCGTGTCTGTCCTCGGGGATTTATGCGCTCCCCGGAGCTGCCGCGCAGGTAGCCCAAGAGAGATAAATGAGGCAGAAAGATTGGGCTGGATGGCGATCAAGGATCTCTCGAGATTTCGAACTCATTTCTCTCTCTTTGACTCTCTGGGGTAGCTTGCTGGAACTTAGAGACCCGGGGCAGAAATCCAAAATCTTTCAGCTTACCTCTGGAGAACTCTTCCGCATGATTTATTTCTCTTCAATTATTTGCACTGCTACTCGTTGGGGCGCAAAGATTCTGGGGCGAAATAGAATTGATCGTTTAGTCGTATTTGCCTACGGGGATTTATACGTTCCTCCGAGGCGCCGCGTAGATAGCCTAAGATAGATAAAATGAGGCGGAAAGAATGGGCTGGATAAGGCTTGATTTCGAATTTCTCAGCGGAACTTGTAGGCCCGGGGCGGAAATCTAAATTCTTGTAATTCGCTTCTGGAGCGGTCTTCTATATGATTTATTTCGTTTTAGGTATTTGCGCGGCTGCTCGGCGATGCGTAAAGACCCGGATGAAGAATTAAAATCTTTCCGAACTTATGGGTCGATTGTATTTGTCTACGGGGATGGATATTCGTTCAAGCTTCCGTATAGATATCCTAAGATATATTTTTGGATTGAAGTTAGCTGGCTAGTGAAATATTTCAATATTATGGCACGATTATTTACAGTCATTTCGCGGGTTCATTAGGAACTATAAATTTTCGGAAAAATAATTAGTTCTAATCTCTTTGATGATTTTGTAATAGGCACTGGAGAATTTGGGTCGCGCGGTTTTTGCCTCCGGAATGTCTTTCTGCATGATTTACTTGTCTTGGGAGTGTTGGTTGGTAGAGCGGACGCCGAATTTTTTTTGGAATTTCTTTTTCGCGTAAATGAATATGAAGATATTTAAGTAGATTTCTTGGAAATCTTGAATAGCGAAATTCTGATAATATTGATTATGCGATTCTATTCTTCTTCTTTGCGAATAGATCCGGGATTGAAATTAATATCTCTCAAAATTTATCGCGTAATTATATCTATGAGGATATCAGCGTTCTCTCGATTCGTTGCGGATAACTTAAGAAAGATAAATGAGGAGGAAAGGTCGCATTGGAGAATTATTTCTTTCTCTTTAGCTATATGCGCTGCGATTCGGTGAAGATACGGAGATCTTAGGTCATTTTTGGTTATATGCGGTCTTATATCTTAATTGTTCTTCGAGATTTATATACGAATTTATATATTGACGTGATTTATCTCTCTTTGATATCGGCGCGATTATTCGAAAGATCTTATAAGAAAGATACGGAAATTCATTTCATTTCAATTTATAGGATAATCGTATTTAATTATGGAGATTTATTCCCTCCCCAAGCAGCTGCCGCGTAGATAATGCCAGAGAGATAAATGAGGCGGAAAGATATGATTAAAAATCTGCTAAGATCTAGAATTATTATTTTCTTTGATTATCTGCGCGGCATTTCGATGGAATGCGAAGATCCGAGCCGGAGGTCTAAAATCTTTCAGAATCTATAATATGAGCTTCCTATGATGAGGATTCATCGGATTGCACGTGGGATCTTCTAGCTTATTTGATCATCGGATTTCTCGTTATAGATCTTTTCTTCTTTAAATAATTGCCGTTGTTATAGGCCAGCGGATCAATTCTATATATTTTGAAAGAAATATATTGATTTGATATTATCGTTCAATTGATAATACTCATATAGATCCGAAATACATATTAAATATTAGAATTGGATCGTTCCTTATAGCAGCGGGTTTTATTATTTTCAGAAAACGTCTCATGAGAAAATTATTCATATATTAGGATCGTCGATGATATCCAGATTCTGAAAGATTTTAGATCTCCGGCCCGGATCTTCATTCTTTCCATAACCATCATATCTAATCCGATCTTTTCCGCCTCATTTATCTATCTTGGGATATCTGCGCGGCAGATCAGGAAAATGCATATATTTTTGGGAATAGATTCGGTTATCTATAAATTCTGAAAGATTTTGATTCTCCATCTAAGATCTACGCATTCCTCTGATCAATCGTGTCGATAATTAAAGAGAGATAAATCATCTATAATATATAAGATCGTATATAAATTCCGACGAATAATCAAGATAGAAAACCGCGCCATATATGATTAAAAATGACCAATCTAATAGATTCTTAAAATTATTGGATCTCTATCCCAGATCTATTCCGAGCCGCCGCATAGATAATCAAAATCTCGACAGATTTCGGTTCGTACGATTCCCATATCCAACCCGGTCTTTCCGCTTCATTGATCTCTCTTGGGCTTTCTGTTCGAGAGAGTCTATAAATCTCCATGAATAGATACGACCAATTTATAAATTCTAAAAGATTTTGAATCTCCATCCCGAGTCTATACGTTCCGCCGACCAGCCGCGCAGACAGCCAAAATGAGATAAATCATATGGAAAATCTTTCCGGAGATAAGGGCCGTGCAACCAAAAATCTCCGAGATTTTGGGTCGCGTCGCCCGCACCAGAAATCTCCGAGATTTTTGAGCCTCTAGCTTTTCCGAAGGGCTCTAAAATCTCCAGGATTTTAGAATTCTTAGGGAGTCCGTAGAAGGTATTTTGAAGGGGAGCCCGCAGAAGGTATTTTAAAGATGAGTCGGAAAATCTAGGCCGCGTGCGAATGAAATCCCCGCGAGTGATCGCGCCATAATATTGAGATATTCATTTTATATAAGATTTTTTCAATTTGAATAAAGATCTATCGATTTTGTATAATATTATATATGATTTTTATATTGATCTTAATATAGCAGAAATGATAGAATGATTCTATATTTGAATTTCTTAGAATGAAATTGAATAATAAAAATATTATTATATATTTGAATTTTTCTCGAAAATATCATATAATAAGAATCTCAGAATTTATATATATATACGTTATTTTAATTCTTATAAATTCAAATCAAATTGACGTATCCTCAGATTGGGAAGATATGACCAAGGCATATTAATTATGATAAATTAAATGAAAATATATAATCCTTTTTATTCATGAAAAGGAATGGAATTATTATATCAATCGCTATATAGAAGGATATAGATTATATATTATATCAATTTTTTATTATTATCAATTCCGCCAGCTCCCTCCCAATAGTTGAGGTCGCAACTTCAGAAGAGGATAAATATATATCAATATATTGATAGATATTCAAATGGATATCTTCCAATCGCTATTCAAATAGATATCATCTCTCTATAGTCGTTCTAATTTTCATATATATATTCTTCGGCATCGTTCCAGCTTATATCTTAGATATAAGCGTTCATATAAGTATTTGGAATATATACGTATTTTTCATCAGAGATCGAATTTGGAATTCCAATTAGAATATATATAATATAAATATAAATCATATAATTGAGGGAGATATTATATTCTCGCACGAATTCTCGTGAAAGAAAGACGCAGCTATTTCTTATCTTATAGATCTAGAATCGTATTATATGCGATGAGAAATATATCTAGAATATATCTCTCTCTTCAATATATATATATATGAAAGGATTATCTGATTCAGTTTTCTTATATGAATGATCTGGAATGATATCACGAATAGTAAATTGATATTTGGATATAATCAAGATTCTTGAATATCTTTCAGATAAATGAAAAAGAATTGGATGGGATGAGATGGAAATAAAGCTCCAGGGATATCGAACGTCCAGATGATTTCTCATCATCCCTTCAAGATAATTTTCATGATAATTTTAAGGAGAGATCTTCTTCCTCTTCATGATATTCTTATAGGATGAGGAGGACGAAGAAGATTTCGAAATCTTAATCTTGATTCTCATAACGTTCATATGAGGCGCGGTAGATGATGCGATACGACGATGAATATATCTATGAGAGATAGATCATTTGAGGAGACCGTTGATTCTGAAAGAATATCGTGAATAGATTCAGATATAATTGATCATCTTATTTCGTCAGATTATTATGCCTCTGTACGAAGAGAATGACGAAGAAGGTATGATTCTTGAATATCTTGGGGATAAATTGATCGACGCGTAGCCCCTGAATCCAATGAAGATTCGTTCAGCGACCGAAATATTGATATATTTCAATTATTTATCTGGGATCTGATGTTGAAATGACGAATAAGGATATCTATCTATATATCCCTTCGCATGAAAATCATCGATATTCTAAAAATATTTCACGTGCGTTGTATTTTCATCGCGCTGATCTTATTATTCATGGCAGCATAAACGATTATAGATCATATAATCTATCTTAGACGTCTATATGATTATTTGATGAAGAATATCTAGAATGATCTTATTGATCTCGGATTGATGAAGCTCTTATATGATAATCATGAATCCCGAAAA